GTTCTTGTTTTTACAGGAAAACAGAGAAAACCTATCATCAAACAGCCAAAAGACACTGAACATGTAGGTGCCTACAGAAGAGAAGTACAGCTCTTCAGAAACAATCACTTAAGGAGGCAGAATCTGATATATGGTATAAAAAATATTTAATTGTAGTAAACTATTTCTATATAGAAATCTATTTCTCTCTACTATCTAGTATTCCTGAAGTCCTGAAGGCTTTGGAGTTGGATTTGGCTTTCCTTCTCTAAATTCAAGCATGTTGTTAAGATTAAATTCATGGTTTCTGCCTTAAATCAAGAAGCCAATTGGTGTGAGGCAGAAGAAAACAAAATCTGGGGACTCATATCTTATATGCAATTTTCTCTCTGAAATCCTAATTTTCTCACATACTTTTAATGCTTATTGTTGTCTTTCCCTAATGCATACCTTAAAACTTGAAATTTTTACTTTAATATTGATGTGTAACTTTTCCACAAGGAATAATAACAATTCCTAACAGCAGTCTTTGAATTCTCAGGAAATAAGATGGGGCCCCACATCATCGTTTCCACTTGACTCAACCTGATGCATCTGAACTACAAACATCACCCTAAAACCGGTTTGAGACTGTTTTGCTCAAGACAACTCATGACTAGCTAGCTGTAATGGTGCACCTTTTTATTACACCCTGGCCAGAGTTTCAAATAGAACTACAGTCAAGAATTTTCTGCCACACAGTGACTAGCTACATATGTCACAGCCAGTTCTGTTGAGAAATTTGGTTGCTAAAATTTTTCTTCCTACAGGATCCATTGGAGCAATCATCGTCCCATTTCAGCAGGAAATAATCTTAAAGTAACGATGCCCCCTTTCCCTACCCTTGGAATTTTGGGATAATAGTCATCGTCTTTGGGTTGGTTTTAGTTATTTGGGATTGGGTGATGCTTACACTCGGGTTTATCTTTTAGACAGGAATAGGGAATGGTTGGGAAAGGTATGGTTTCAATGGGATATAAGTAGATTAGCCTATTTTCTTGAGAATTTGAGTAAGAATGAGATAGTATTTTACAGCTTATATTGTTGTGTATTCTTATGTGGTAAGCTATGTAAAATTAAGTTTATATTTTGTTATATTGTGTTAAATCTTTCCACTTACAATGTTTTATGCACATTACTTTTTACCATATTCTATGTATGTATACTTTTCTTGTATTCAAGACATTTTGTGTATTGATACAATTTGGGATATTTATCTTGCTGCCCTTTATAGTTCTACCTCTTGTCTTGACACTTATACTCTACCTCTATTTAGGGATTTACATGTATGTATATGTAAATAGTTATATTGTTTAAGTATTTGTTCCTGCTTTACTCAGGAAAGTTTTAATCAGTCTTTTTAGCTAAGTTCCCGAGTATTACAGATTATCTTCACTCACATTTCCTGTACCTATGAGATTAGTCAGATACAGATGCTTAATCTTCAATCACTTCATAGACATGCAGAACATGGCATTTAAATGTTTTAATATTAGTACTCCATTGACATGAGACACTGTTGCTCCTGACAGCACCGTGCACTTTCCCGAAAATATGTTGGACACTGTTGTTGCTCCTGCTGGAGTTCATTCTCGCTTCAGCTAATGGCCTGTTGGGCAAAGAACTGCCCCCACCTTGACCACTGATTTGGACATGCAGTCCTATGTGTTTGCAGGAGACAAATATAGAAGACTGCTTGACCTTGCCAAGTCAGGGTAAGACAGCCATTCTACCTCCTTGCTGTTGTTGTGGTCTGTCAAGTTCTCTTGGCCTTAGCCAATTCTGCGTGTACCAACGTTGCTTTGAGACCTAGGGTGACTGTTCAGGTGGCTTGCTGTTTCTGTCCTTGCTGCACCTTTTGGAAGTTGTCCATCCACATTTCCTGTCTACTCTAGTATTGTTAATTTCCTTCTCAGGTCTTGATGAGGTTGAAGATTAAACTATCACAACTATTATTCTCTCTTCCTAGTTAGATATATTAGGTACTAGACTTACATTTTCCAGCTTAGGACAACTCTATTGCAAACTCCATTATGCCCTCACCCTAGGACTAGATATGTAGGTCTTTTGTTCTCAATTTTCCTTTTCTTAGAGCACACTTGTTATTCACTGTTTTGTATATAGTTTTGTATTAAGCCTAAATCTTTTCTTTAGACTAAAAGGGGAATTGTAGTGAGATAGTCCTTCTGTGGCACTGACCACGCCCATTGGGGGGTGGAGCCATGGGCGGAAGTGACCTGTGGAAGGAGGTGGGAGGGGGCCAGGAAAGGCGCTCTCTTTCTGGCGTGACTCGGACAGGAGAGGATCGGGTTGAATTTCCTGGTGTTCATCTGTCTAGGTTGTAAGTTATTTCTCCCTGAATAAACATCTATTCGGCCTATTTGTTTATCCTGATCCTTATTTTACCGTGATAGGTAAGGACCCAGTTGTGTCCTGGTTTAGGGGGCTCAGGGTCTGTGCCACTGTGAAATCAGAGAACCTCTTACTTTGACAGGAGCTCCCCAGTTTCTCCCATCCTTAGTGTTTGTGTTTGGGTACACAGTTTGGCTTAGTGACAGATCTTCAAAGAGATGCTATTGCTTCTAGTGTCTTTTGACTCAGAGCTGAAGGACTCAGAACTCTTCAGGCTTAGTGCGAGAACCTGTTTGGCTTCTGGCTGGTCCAGGAACCAAAATTGACCTAGGAGAGGGAACTATTTGTGGGACAGACACACTTTCCTCTCCTCTACTACTTTGGTCATTGGGAGTGTTTTTAAAATATAATAATTATATACATATTTTTTATTTTACATACCAAGCACACTTCCCCCTCCCCTTCCCATCCCCTCACCTCACCTCCTGTCTATCCCACATCTACTCTTCCTCCATTCAGAATGGGTGGGCCTCCCATGGGAGTCAGCAAAGCATGCCACATCAGGCTGGTTCAGGATCAACCTCTTCCCCCAAGATCATGTTTAGACAAGGCATTCTTGCATACAGAATAGGTTCCAAAAAGCCAATTCATGTGTTGGGCACAGGGTCCTGATCTCAATGCTACGGGCCTCACAAATAGACCCGGTTACACAACTGTCATCCACATGTACAGGCCTTAGGTCTGTTTCAGGCAAGCTCCATAGCCTGGCAGTGTTCTTGGTGGGGTGACCTTTGGTATTGCCTGGATAGGGACATTGTGTCTCTCTCCATCTTAATTTTGTCCCATCTGTTATCTTTCAGTTTTCATGTCCCCAGAATGTCCACAAAGGTTTTAATCCTTCCTCCCAACGTGTTCTTTAAAATAGCAGTCATTGAGTAGACATCAGGGATCTGGAGGCCAGAGCCTCAGTGGGCAGTGGACGGTGAGGCGCACACATGCTGAGGTTCCTTCTAAACAGACTAGCAGTGAGCTTGTCTTCTTTGAATTTCACATGGACACGTCCAGAGGAAGCTGGAAATGGAGCAGTGAAGGGTGGGGGTCAGTACTGAGACTCTGAGTCATCACGAAAACTGTAGATCTCAGTCCCTTCATTTCACCAGTATTTACATTGTCTACCCTGACCCCACAGAGCAAACCCTATAGAGCTGTGTGTTCAGAGGTCAGGGATGGGGACACAGCTGAGTCAAAATTTAACATCTTCGTTTTCTCCACTCATCTCTCCCTGACTATTTTTGTTCTTGTTTTTGTCCCTTTTTTTTATTGACACCTGCACCTGAGAGTCCACTTGGCTGGGTGGGGCAAGTTCTCATCATGCATAAATGAATCTGGTCACTAGAAGGCATCTGAGATCTGCTCTGTAATCTGCGCTCTAAAATCTACTCTAGTGACCTGACTCCAAGTTGCTATGGCAGTGTTGTGCCTTGTGTAGGAAGGAGTAGGGGTGAGCGGAAAGGCTGGCTGTGGCACTCCCTGGTTGTGTAGATACCCCATTGGCACCCTTCACTTCAGTCATAAATCCACCTTGTGCTTCGTGTGGTCATTTGTCCACATAGGGCATGGGCATGGGAGTCCAGCCAGGTGATATGCAGAGACTCATAGTAGTGACAATGAAGTCATGAGCCTTGAGAAACTTTTTCTAAAGTACAGGATAAGCCCTTGCCCCCAAACTGGGGACATAGAATACATTTTCCCTTTCACCCCAATTCATGACAGGGCGTTCATCTCCTTTTACTGCAACCCGAAAGGGCTCAGGCCACTTCCTCCCTCCCTCCTAAGAACCTCCTGATGGCATTAGGGTCTGGTGAAGCTGGTGGCCATAAAGGGAGGCAGAATCTTATTTATGGGGTTCTTATTGGTTAAGAGGAAAGAGATAGGAAAGGTTGAAATTGAATGCCATGGTAGGTCTTCGGAGGAATGATGACCTTTGATGAGATATAAGGCCATGTAGGATGGCCTTGAAAATTATGGCTTGGAGCTCAGAGCATCAGCCAGAGTGTATAGTGTTGGAGAAAATTCAACATGTGGATATCTCCAAACCCTCAAGTAATAGCCATAATGGTAAAACCATTTATAAATAATTTAAGTAAAAAGTAAAACAAACTGTTATGTTATAGCTAAAATCCTTATATTGACAGTATTTATGACCAGCTTCCACAAACATTAGAAATGTGACTCAAAATATTTGGAAAGTTTGACCTCTAGAAATAGATCCAGAGTACAATTGGGGATGCAATAATTCATATAACAGACTCAGTGCTCCTGATAATTTGTGTGACAGAAGGTTTAAAAAAAAAAGAAAAAAAAAAAGAATGAGTTCAGAAGACATACCCTGGCTATTGCACTTCTCTCCCAAGTGAACTTATAGATGTTGCTTTTGACCCTAATTCATCTCAACCTCAGGTAACACTGCCAGAGTCACTCCTGCCACACCCAATGATTGTTACCTAAGTCCTCATGTTGCCTGGGTAACCAGCAGGCCTGGGAGCCTGAAGAAGCCCTTTGTCCAGTGTCAGTGTCTACCACCCCAGGCAGTGGCCACAGCAGAGGGTTCTAGCCTAGCTTCACCCAGGATGTTTTATCTGAGCTGGGGCATGCGGCTGGCAGGAAGACCCGTGACCCTCAGAGCCCTCCTCTTGCTGGTTGCACTCTGGGTGCTGCTCCTGGTTCCAAGCCAGTGTTTGCAAGGCCGTCCCACATGGCGTTATATCTCATCGGATGTGGTCACTCCTCGGAAGGTGACCTACCATGGCAAGGGATTTCAAGCACCAGGCCGGCTCTCCTACAGCTTGCGATTTAGAGGCCAGAGACATATCATCCACCTGCGCAGAAAGACTCTTATTTGGCCCAGACACTTGCTGCTGACCACTCAGGATGACCAGGGGGCGCTACAGATGGATTATCCTTTTTGCCCTGTGGATTGTTACTACATTGGCTTCCTGGAGGATATCCCTCATTCCTCAGTCACTATGGATACTTGTTCTGGGGGCCTGAATGGGGTAGTGATGCTGGATGACCTTGCCTATGAAATCAAACCCCTCAGTGACTCACACACGTTCGAGCATGTTATTTCTCAGGTAGTAGCTGATTCTGATGCAGTGGAGCCTATGAAAAAATGGAAGAACGTAGACCATAACGTGGGCCCCTTCTTCTCTGGAACAAATTCCAACATGGCTCCCAGAATGTCAAGTAGAGACTATGCTTCACATCCAGCTGCCATCAAGGGACATTTTCTAGCAACCCATTCTTTGTATCTTGTAGTCCAAAATGTTACAAGGTCTGGCGAATATTTGTTTTCATTAGCCAGTTTAATGGACAGTTTTATGCACAACATTCATTTACGATACTACGTTATTATTTTAACTGTGTTCAACATTAGAAATCCATTTCCGGATGACTACCGAGTGCCAGGAGGTGAAGTTCACAATTACTATTTGGCAAATTTTTATTACAGATTTCGCCCTGATTCATCAACTTTAATTAATTTAAAAGGGCCAGAGGATGAAGATGCCGTTCCAATTATACAAAGTGTTTGTACTCCCAATTCCTTAATCTGCATTGGTCAAAATAGACGAGCTTATATATATATGTCTATAGTAGTAGCCAATCGTGTCGGGAGGAATATAGGTCTGAATTTTGATGATGAGGCTTACTGTTTTTGCCAGAGAAGGTCCACCTGCATTATGTTCAAGGATCCTGTGCTAACAGATGCTTTCAGCAATTGTTCCCTTGCACAGCTAAACCACATACTCAATAGTCCTGGTGAGGTGCTGTGCCTTTTCACTGATTTTACTAGTTACTATAATGGATCATTAACCTATAGTGTTTGTGGAAACTTCAGAGTAGATGAAGAGGAGGATTGTGACTGTGGCTCAAACAAGGCATGTTATACAAATCCCTGCTGTCAGAATGACTGCAAATTCGCAAAAGGTAGCATTTGTGATAAAGAATCATGCTGTTCAAACTGCACCTACAGTCCTTCTGGGACACTTTGCAGAAGTATCCAGAACATATGCGATCTTCCAGAGTACTGTAATGGGAATGAAATCAATTGCCCAACAGACTATTATCTGCAAGATGGAACACCATGTTCAGAAGAGGGGTACTGCTATGCAGGAAACTGCACCGATCGCAGTGTACATTGCAAGGAAATCTTTGGTGCAGGTGCTCAAGCTGGTAATAGTAAGTGCTATGAAATCAATAAGGAACGGTACCGGTTTGGACATTGTCAGAGACCACAAGTATCCCTCTTATTTAGTCCTTGTTCTGATAGAGATAAAATGTGTGGGAGGTTGCAGTGTACCAATGTTACCCGTCTTCCACAGTTGCAGGATCACGTTTCATTCCATCAGTCAGTTATTTCTGGGTTTTCCTGTTTTGGGCTCGATGAGCATCGTTCAACAGAGACAACAGATGCTGGACGAGTCAGATTTGGCACTCGATGTTCCACAAATAATTTCTGTGACCGAGGGTCTTGCAATGGATCTTTAACTGAACTCAATTATGACTGCACCCCAGAAAAATGCAATTTTCGAGGTGTATGCAATAATATTCGGAATTGCCATTGTCATGTAGGCTGGGAACCTCCAGACTGTGTAGGAAATGGACCTGGAGGGAGTTTGGACAGTGGACCACTTCCACAGAATATGCGAGCAATAAAAGAGAGCAAAGAAGTAGTGGTTTACTTAAGAGTCATTTTTGCTCGCATTTATGTCTTCATGGGCTCACTGCTCTTTGGGGTGGCTTTTCGAGTAGCTTTTACTAAGGTTATCATGTATGAAGAGTTGCAAGCTGCTTTACGTCGAGCAGAACAACAAGGACATTTGCCACGGTAAAAGCGAGTTAGCCTCCTGGTCCTTGTAAAATGAAGAGAAGTAAAAAGAAAGTATGAATGTCAGTAAGAAGACAAGTTAAAAATCAAGTCTACAATTCTCAGGAGCCTGAGTCTCTTATGGGGGCATAGAAGGTTCTGATGCCATTACAACCTGTCTTTGATAGGTTTTTGATGCTCATATTGGAATAAATTTTTCAAAATCGGAAACTGGTGTTTTCTGAGTTTTTGGTAATTTATTCAGAGCTGCACTAAGCTTGCCTCTTGTTAGCCGTAGCAGACCTTGAGCCAGAAATATTCTGGTCCCAGCTTTTAGCTCTCTGGTCTAAAAATTAAGGGCATTGTCTACATCTTTTTTAAGAATGTATCCAGAGAGTTACCTCACCCTTGGTCCTGCTGGGCCCATCGCTCAGGATTAGCATTGGGCAAGAGTGTGAGTCCAACAACCCCTCTACCTCCTTGGAACTTGCTGGGTAGAATCTGAACATACTGGATCCACCTGTCCATGTGGGACCACCTTGAGCTGGCACTCACCTGATCTTTGGGCTCCATTGCCTACTGCTGGAGTTGATTCTGGGACCAGTACAGGCCGAATCCCCACATGCCCTTCCCTGGAACTCCCTGGGTTAGGTCTGCATGTCACTCCCCACTATGCCATTGGCCTGAGTGGGACAGTCCTAGTATACTGGTCCACACACCACCCAGAGCCTAACTCCCCCTCATCCTTGGTCTTGCTGGGCCCATTCCTCAGGATGAGCATTTGGCCAGAGTGTGGGTTCAACACCTCCTCCACCTCATTAGTACTTTCTGGGTCGGCTCTGAGAATACCAGAGGGAGCCATTAGAGGTTTGAAGAGAAAACTGACTCTAAAGAAATGTCCAGAGACCTACAAGACTGACCCAAACTAACAATCTGAGCAAGTGGAAAGGCTACCTTAAATGCCCTTCCCTGATAACTAACTTATATGCCATCATGGAGCCCTCATCTAATAGTTGATAGAAACAGAAGCAGAAACCCACAGCTAGACACTGAGATGAACTCCTAGAATCTTGTTGCAGAGAGGGAAGAGTGATAACAAAAGTGGTAGACAGCTGACCTGAACACGCGGGAGCTAATGGACCCCTAGACTGATGCTGGGAAATGAGCATTGTACCTACTCAGACCCCCTGAACATGGGTCTCAGTTAGGAGGCCTGGGCAGTCTAAGGGACCTCTGACAGTGGAACCAGGATGTATCCCTGGTGCACAAAAGGACTTTGGGAGCACATTCCCGATGGAGGCATACTCCTTAGCCTAGAGTCGGGGGGGGGGGGAAGACCTAGACCCTACTCCAAATGACTTGATATGGCATGGGTCTATCTGAAGTCTTCTACACACCATCATCCAGTTGTGCCAGCACCATTTGTTGAAGATATTTTCTTCCTCCCATTGTATATGTATCGCTGTTTTGTCAAAAAGCAGGTGTTCATAGGTGTGTGAATTAATATCGGGATTTTCAATTCGAGTCTATTTGTCTACCTGTCTATTTTTGTGTCAATAACAGGCTGCTGGTATCCCCAGACGAGAAGCAATCAGCCTGCATTCTTGAAGCATTACAATAGTAATAAAAGAAATGTATTAATAGTTGGAGGGAATCATTACTTGGGATAGAGTATGTTCACAAAAGTTTGGACTGTTAAAAATTCCAGAGTTTCAAGGTATTTGAGATCAAAATCCCAGGTTGAAATTCCTTACCATGGTCAGACACAATCAGACAAATGGTAACCTCTGATGGGATATAAGGCCATGTGGGAAGACATTAAAAACACTGGCTTGGAGCCATGAGCAGCACCCAGAGTTTATGTATAGATATCACAAAATACTAAAGTAACAGCCCAAACAGTAAAAGCATTTGTAAACAGTTTTAGTAAAAACTCACATAAAAATATGTTTACAAGTTTTAGAATAATAACCTAGGTAAGAAAATGTTCACAATATTTACTTCAGCCTTCCCAGAAACATGAGTAATATGAGACAAAAGAAAAACATAGTTTGACTTCTAGAATTAACCCAGAATACTTTGGAGACCAAGTAAATTCAGATAACTGACATGGTGTTCATGATGTTTATATGCCCGGAAATTAAGAATAAAGAAATAAATGAGTCAGAAGAGATGTAGCTTTTGACCCTAATTCATCTCAACCTCAGGTAACACTGCCAGAGTCACTCCTGCCACACCCAATGATTGTTACCTAAGTCCTCATGTTGCCTGGGTAACCAGCAGGCCTGGGAGCCTGAAGAAGCCCTTTGTCCAGTGTCAGTGTCTACCACCCCAGGCAGTGGCCACAGCAGAGGGTTCTAGCCTAGCTTCACCCAGGATGTTTTATCTGAGCTGGGGCATGCGGCTGGCAGGAAGACCCGTGACCCTCAGAGCCCTCCTCTTGCTGGTTGCACTCTGGGTGCTGCTCCTGGTTCCAAGCCAGTGTTTGCAAGGCCGTCCCACATGGCGTTATATCTCATCGGATGTGGTCACTCCTCGGAAGGTGACCTACCATGGCAAGGGATTTCAAGCACCAGGCCGGCTCTCCTACAGCTTGCGATTTAGAGGCCAGAGACATATCATCCACCTGCGCAGAAAGACTCTTATTTGGCCCAGACACTTGCTGCTGACCACTCAGGATGACCAGGGGCGCTACAGATGGATTATCCTTTTTGCCCTGTGGATTGTTACTACATTGGCTTCCTGGAGGATATCCCTCATTCCTCAGTCACTATGGATACTTGTTCTGGGGGCCTGAATGGGGGTAGTGATGCTGGATGACCTTGCCTATGAAATCAAACCCCTCAGTGACTCACACACGTTCGAGCATGTTATTTCTCAGGTAGTAGCTGATTCTGATGCAGTGGAGCCTATGAAAAAATGGAAGAATGTAGACCACTTTTACCTGTTCTTGGGTTCGGTTTGGAAGTATTTTATTGAGTGCATAAATGGTCATCAGGGAGATTGGTTTATAATTCTTTCTTTGTTGCATCTTTGGTTTATTAATCAGTAACCGTAGCCTCATAAAAATAGTTTGGCAATATTCCTTCTAGTTCTATGATCCACTGTGCCACTCAAACCCACAAACCCCATCATCTCCTTTACCAACTGCCCACCACAACATAAACACCCCTGCATCAGCACAACCTACTCTAGTTGGAGGAACCGGGGAATGACTGTCCCCCACCCCAGATAAATTGCCCCAATCTCCAAGCCTTTGAGCAAGTTTGGGATTTCCCTGTTGTAGCCTATGTAAACAGACTTTAAGTGACACCTAATCTCTAGAAGCAGGATTTATCTGCACTAGACTGTCTTGCCTTTGCCTCTGGGCTGTACCTGCTATACCCGTTTCTTCTCAATAATACTATCTTTTTAAGACAGATGTTCCCCTCCCCCCCATCCCAGTGAGTTTCACAATGTGCCTACAGCCTCTCCAGGCTGTCACTCTCAGCCCATGGCTACCAGACTTGGTATGCCTCACAGTTCATTAACACTGTTGTCAGATTTGGTGAGACAAATTGGGAATTCTTAAAGGTAGGAAATAGTTAAAAGAGTTTTTTTTTTTCCACATTTAAAAATGGGAAACCTGCATAAGATATAAGATTGGACTGGGCCCCTGAATGTGGGTATCAGTTGGGGAGCTTGGGCAGTCTATGGGGCTGCTGGCAGTAGAATGCTGGCAGCATTTATCCCTAGTACATAGACTGGCTTTTTGGAGCTCATTTCCTATGGAAGAATATCTTGCTCAGCCTAGATATTCGGTCCTGCCCCAAATGATGTGACAGACTTTGATGATTCCCTATGGGAGGCGTCGCCTTCTCTGAGGAGGGGACAGGGGTGAGGTGGGGAGAGAATAGTGGGAGCAGGGGTATAGGAGGGAAAGAGAACTGGGATTGCTATGTAAAATAAGATTATTTTTATTTTAAATTTTAAAAAACTGAAAAGGAAAATTGGGAAACATTACAAATGGAGAGACATGTCTGTGTGATTACCCAATGAATGAATTAAAAACGTAGTGATTAGTTTCTCCCTCTCTCTCCTTTGCACAAGGTGGAGAAAAGTGGTAGGCCCGTGCTGCTCATGCTGAATAATGCCCGAAAGATTCCACAGTGAGTCTAGGTTGGGATCAGTCGTGACCGAGGAAAGCATGGAGGCATCGCCAAGCGCGAAGGATAGTAGAAACGCGAGGACAAAATCTAAGGCTGAAGAAGCAAGGCAAGGATTGGAAGAAACCGTTTTCCCCCAAGGGAAGTCGGTTAAAGAGAAAGGGCATTCTGAAGATGATGTGGGTCCCCCTGAGTCCAAGAAAGCACCACAAGACGGCACTGCTTCTAAAAGCAAAACCTCCTAGAAGAAAAAGGAGCCCCTCGAGACGAATGCAGCCCTAGCTAAAACCAAAGAAATAAAAATTGAGGCGCTTTCTGAGGAAGATGCAGATGTTCCTAAGCCCAAGAAGATGAAGAAAGGGAAGGAAGCTAATGGAGACATTGTTGGAGAGAAAAGCCCGAAGTTCAAGAATGGGTTCTCTCATTTTGAGTCGAATTCCACTGCCAAAGAAGCGACTGGTGAAAAAAGTAGCAGTGAGGCCGAGAAGGAAATACTCATGGAACAGAAAGAAGGAGCTTTTTCTAACTTTCCCATGTCTGAAGATACTGCCAAGCGTTTCTAAGTGCGCGAACCTCCTGTTTCCTATGTAAGCCAAGGCATTCTACCACGTGTACAGTGGCAAAGACTTAATTGCCCAGGCAAGCAGAGGAGCTGGGGAGACATTCTCCTTTGCCATCCCTCTGATTGAGGAGCTTCAGGATGGGCTGCAAGACAGTACCCCTCAGGTACTAGTTCTTGCACCTACAAGAGAATTAGCAAAATCAAGTGAGAACAGACTTTAATGACGCCACAAAAAAAAAAAAAAAAAAAAAAAAAAAAAGCTGTCAGTGGCTTGTTTTTATGGTCGAACTCCCTGTGGTGGTCAAATTGAGTGCATGC